TGTGGGAAGTGTGGACAGTTCAGTCAGTGAAGATAGGACAATTGGCTGTCCTTTGGGGGAACCCTAAAACATATGTTTCTTAGGACACACAAACATTCTAGACAGATTAAGAAGTTACATATAAAATTTAGCTAAAAGTATTAGGAGAAAACATAGGCAAGCAAGATACTAAGCCTCAAAGTCATAAGGAAATGCCTGATAAATTTAGTTGTCCTATAGGAATCTTAATTCATCCAAAGCTAAGTTCATCACTGTCCTAAGATTGTCCCTTCTCTGGGATTCCTCATCTTGACCATTCCTTTCCAGTTTCTCCCAGTCCCCTCATTAAGGCTTGCTCATCCATTTCCTATAAATTTTCTTGCCTTCATCCACTTCTCCACCCTACCACCATCTCATCAGCTGCTGGCCTAGTTCTAGGCCAACCTAAGTTGGTCCAATTTGCTAAGAGATCTCTCTGCCTTTAGTGTTAACCCCTCCAATCCTATCTTCCCCATCGAGGATGATAATTCGGAACCACAGATCTGGCTGAGGCACTACCATTCTTAAATATGTTGGTGTCTCCACATTATCAGAATAAAACCTTGAGCTCTTCACCTTAGCATTTAGGTTCCTCAGGGTTTCTTCTCACTGCTGACATCACCAGTGTCCTGTCTTGTCAATTCCTTGCTGCTTGTTTTGTATCATCCCTCACCTACTTGCTAAACTTAATTTTGGGCCTGCCCTCTGCATTTTATCTCCAGGAATGTGCCTGTACTAGTCATTATTATGAGAACTTTAACCTTAGCTTATCAGGCTAGCTCCCCCCATCCCAAGACCTCTGCTTAGTTTTGTTCATCCAGGAGTCCATTCCTAAGCCTCAGACAGAACTAGCTAGCTTTTTTATACCTCCTTTTCTGATAGCACTGCACAGGGAAGTTTCTGAGCTCCTTGGGGATAGGGAGCTACAGGGCTTTATATATCCTTACACCTTACATGGCCCACTGCCAGCACATGGAAAGATTTAGTTCATGGTTGCTGAATGGAGTGTGTGAATGAACTCCTAAGTATATCTTGGACCCTGTCCCTCCTTGGGGGTCTTCCTGGCCCAGGCCCTGTTTCCTGTCCTCTGCCCTTCAGTTCCCAGATAAGAGCAGCTAATTGGAGCATGCCAGCCTTTGTATGAACTCTCACTAGGTACCCTGAGGGATCTGAGCCACCCTTCCACTGCTCCCTTGCTAAGCAGAAACTTGACTACCCTTGGGTCCAACCAGGAAACATCCTCCCTTGTTGCATGCTAGCCTCACTTATCTCCTCTCTGAAGGCTCTATGCTGCTGTATCTCTCCCTTTATGGACTTGGCAATATAAAAATATTTCCAAGATTAAGAATATCACGGCTCAAAAAGGGGGGAGTGTCATTTTGTCTCACGTTGATGACCTTGCAGGGACACACAAATGTGTTAACCTTCCAGAATTGAAGGTGAGGAAGACCTACTCTTGGAGGCCTCCACTGTGGGCACAGGGCTATGCCTCTACAGCTCCTATGGCACAGCAGCCTCAGTAGCTCAGAGAGGTGCCAGAAGGCAAGGCTACTAAACCCAGGAGGCCGAGGGCTTCAAGCAGAGGACTCTAAGAAGCTGCTTTGTCACTAGACTCATCTTGCTGCTGTCTCTCTCTCAACTTTTGGCTTGTTAAAAGCACCAGATCTGTCTGGTGCTGCTTCTGCCAAGTGTCCTTATCTTTTAATTGTGCCATTGATTTTTATTTTTTAGCTGGTCAGTAGTTTGCATTGATTCTTATCAAAACTCCAAGGGGGGAAAAAAAAAGAACCCTGGGCTAACAGCCCCATAACTGTCATTCCACTGAGTTGAGAAGTAATCTGGAGCAAGTTTCTTCCTTCCTCTGGTCTCTATTGTGGTGGACCAGTTGCAACAAATTAGAATCAAGAATCCCCAGTAAACAGGATCAGTCAGAATCTGTGGAGTGAATGGCAAATGATTTCATCAAGTGTGCTGGCTCATCTGTCATCTGTGTCATAGATTGTACAGTATATACTTTCTCACCATCAGGTCATCCAGAACTAGTAGCTTGTGCAAAGCTATAGGATGCAGCATCCTGTTCAGGGCTCTCAGTGACACTGTGGCCACTGTCACCCCTAGTGGAGAAACCTGAAGCTTAGAGAAAGAAGCACTTGTTGAATGTCAGGCAACCAATGGGTGAAGACTGGAACAGGTTTGTCTGACTCCAAAGTCCACTCTGTCCTTTGCAGAAAGTAGTAAGACTTTATTCCTTGAGACTGGAGTATAGGAATCGGGTAAGGAGTGGCAGAGTTGAGACCAGGGACAACGGGTCAATTTTAACTGAAGCTTTAAGTCACAAGAATGTAGACTTTAAACAGAGGACAGGGAGAGTCACTGAGGACATTTAAGAGGGAAGGGCCTTGTCAGATTTGTATAAGTATCATTCTGTCTGCAGGAGGCTAGCTTACAGGAAGCAGACAGTAGACAGGCATTTGCAAGCCAAGTAAAAGGCAGTGGGGTCTGGACTTGAGTGGCTGTTGCTGGAATGAAAGTAGATGATTAGAAAATAAGGAGATAAGTCTGCATAAATTCGTACAAGATTAGGAAAGTGAAAAGAGGGCAAGGTCAAGCCTGACTCAGGTTTTTCCTTTGCCATTCACTGGTGTAGAGAACAAGAATAAGAGGGAGCTTGGGGAGAAAAATTGTTCATTACTAGAAACATTTTGTCTTTATCTAGAAGTGTTTGGGAGGCATTTGAATTTGTAATGTGGTGCTCAGGAGAGGGGTCCAGGCTAGAAAGGGGGACCTTCAAAGGCAGCAGAAGCTTAGGATTTGGCACAACACCTCTCCCCCCATACTGGGGATTGAACTCAGGACCTTGCTCTTGCAAGGCAGGTGTGGTGTAGAAGCGTAGGATTTGGGTGAGGTCACCCAACCTGTAGCGTTGGGAGAGGTTGGGACAGAGCCTGGGACTCCTTCCTGGCACAGATAGATTAGTGCTTGCCTTCTAGATGGGCCAATGGCCTGGGGGTCTGAACTGGGACATTCACTTGGGTCCAGAGAGGCAGATTGAGCGATTTGTCCAGCAGTGAGGGAGGAGCCACATGAAGTCAATAGAAAACTAATTTTCTTTTCTGCTAGAAGAAATGAGGTGTGTGGCCGCTGGATAATTGCAGATAACGAGGGGACTTATTCTTAATATGCACAGTGGCCATGGTCCCCAGAGTGCTGAAGATAGGCAGGATTGGAGGTGCCCTGACAGGGCTAGGCTTAGGGAGAAATCACCCTCTCACAGTCCCTCCCCCTTCCAGTCCTGGCCATCAACTGCTGAGCTCCTCCTGTCGCAGCCCCCTCCCTCCTCCACTTTCTACCCCCACAGCACAGGCATACACACTAAGGGAGACAAATGACGGGGCCTCAGCTGAACGGGGCGCGTGTCCGGCCCATAAACCACAAGGATGGGTCACGTCTGGAGTTGCCATGGCCGCCAGTACCCACCCATCTGTCTTTCCACCATTCTGCCTCAGATCAACCCTCATGGCTTCCTGAGTCCCTGGGAGAACAAGGTGTCGTTTCCATACCTATAGCCACCACAGGTACATACATGTTGAGCTCTGTGGCAGGACCTTGTCTGCATTGCCTGCTCTAGGTAGGATCTGCTGAGCTGTCTGGCTAGTGACACAGACCCTTGGCTGATCAAAATCTCCTCCCCCACCCATAGTCCCTTCCTAGCTTGGGGGTGTATGTTCCCCTTTTCTAAGGTATAAAGTGCTGGCAGGGGTGGGTCTGGGGGGATTGAGTGGAAGGGATCAGTCCTTGACAGATGCAGAGGCCTCCTGACCCCACCTTGACCTTACCACCCCCCCCACTTGATTATGACATCGATGTACAATATCTCTGCAATCACAGCATCGATCCCATGAGGACGGGTGGCAGCTGAGGTCTTGCTCATGGCCCAAGAGCACTGAGGGAGGTAGGAGAGGAGTGGGAGGACAGACAGGTGAGGATGGCAAGTTGATGGCCTCTCCCGGGAACTCAACTGAAAAACCCAGCTACTTTGATGGTTTCTGTACTAGGCTGACTCTAGTGACAAGCTTGGGGCAGCTGGCCCTCATGCCAATGGTGGTGGAGTCAGTCCTGGCCCATGTCCACAAAACTGAAGCCCCAGAGTACCTGCAGCCTCCAGGGTATTAGGATAATTTAGAGCATAAAGTTTTTCTCAGGGACTTACTCTAGAGAAAATGCTTGAGGGGTCTGTCACAGAGACACATTTCACCTGAGGTGTGGGTAAGAGACAGGGCCCAGAAAGTGACCAGCACCCAGTTCTGAGCCTACTGGGACAGGCAGGGAGATGTGTCACGTAGAGGGCTGATGGCCAGGGCTGGGAGAGCAGCTACACATCTTGTCCAGGGCCACACAGGAACAGTACCCAGGACAGGTGTGTCTCTTAGAGCCCTGGCCCAGCAGGGCTGCACCTTGTCACCAGTGATTATGGCCTGGGCCACATCTCCCACACACGCGCAAGTGCCAGCAAAGTCACCCTGGCCGTGGGCGTGATGAATGGCCGCACAGTAATGAAATGGAGACATCAAGGCGGGTGGCGGGAAGACGGAGTGTGGCGGACGGGCCGTCCCCACGCAGCAGCAACAAGAAGGATCGCCCAGCGGCCGGGGGCCGTCAAGGGAGAAATTACACATTTACTCTGCCTTTTTCTTACTGCGACGGCGCCCATATATCACTACTGGGGCTGGGACAGGACACGCTGGCCAATTTCCAACATGAATTATGGGACTGAAAAGCATTGAGACCAGACTTCCTGCTGGCCTAGCATCACCCAGCCCAACCTGAAGCTGGAGATGCAGCCACAAAGGCCAGGGTCCTCTCTCTAGTGCCTGTGGCTCCTAAATGTGACCACCTTCCCACTCCCACCCTGGTAAGAGCACCTATGGGCATGGAGGGGAAAGGTCTGGGGCCCATCTAATGTCTTTTCTTTCTCCCTTTAGATGACTGCAAGAACATTGCCAACATCATGAAGACACTTGCATATCGAGGCTTCATCTTCAAGCAGACATCAAAACCATTCTGATTGGCCGAGGATGGGATGGGGCAGGACAGGGTAGCTGCTTGGCCCAGCCCAGAATCCTCCTCTCCCTCACCAGAGGGGAAAAGGGAGAGTGGCACAGCCCTGCGCCCAGAGTGTCCCCCAGCTGCCCTGTGGACTGTGTCCTGGGCAATGGCATGGCCATCTGGCCTCTCTGGAGCAGACACTTTGTGCCCCCCACCCCTCAATCTCAGCCCAGTATTAGCCCCTCCTATTGTGGGTCTGGGCTAGGGGGACCCAGGCACTCACTGCCTCCTCCCTGGTACACAGGCTTCTGCAGGGGCCACCAAGCCCCCCTGTGCCCCTTCCCATCCATAGTGCATGGTGTGTGGTGCCCCCAGGGCTCCAAGACAGATCAGGCCCCATCTTGTATCTACCCCCAGCCCTGCTGTGAACGTGCCACTGAATAAAGTCGGGGAAATGAGGCCCTGGGTATGTGTGCAAAGGCTGTTATGTGCTAATGCTGTCAGGCTGTAAAGATGGAGCATACTCAGGCTGCCTCTTGTGCACAAGGCTACCAATATATGAATGGCAGTGCTTGACATCCTCACTGAAGATACACAGGTCTGGGGATGTGTGGACGTCTCAGGAGGCACTATGTGCAAGGCCATCAGGAGTATAAAACTTGGCACTGCTGGCAGGATTAGGGAGATGATGCCAAGAGCCTGAATGTAGGCCAGCCCCAACCACAACCACAGATAGCAGCTGATGCCAGGCCTAGCCACCCTCCCTAAAGAGGAAATCAGGGTGTGGGAAAGGAAGTGGGAGTAGCCTAGTCCAGGTCAGCAGCTCTATTTACACCATAGCACCACCCACACCCCAGGTGGCCTCTCATGGCTTCTTGGCTTTCTTCACAGAAGATGAACTGGAGGCCGATTCCCGTCGTTTCCTCTGAGGAGACAGACACAGAAGGTGCTGAGGTCAGTGGCCCAAAGGCCTAACTCAGGCCTAGTGTGCACATTTCACTAAGAAAGATGATACCCACTGGTCAACCCAGTCCTGCCCTCAGCCCCAGACCCTCACAGAGGCAGGAACCAAAGGGAGCAGAGCTTGTGTCCACATGTGTCTGTTCACAGGGCTGGGGCACACTCTCAAGCCTGTCTGCGTTCTTACCGAATTGGGTGTGAGGGGCGCACCCACGACGTCAATGATGGTGTCCTTGGTTGAGTCAGGGCCAAGCCCAGGTTCAGATACTGCTGGCTCAGTAGAGGCTGGTACTGGGCCTGTTGCTGGTGTGGCAGGACCCCCAAGGACACCTGCCCGGGCCAGTGCTTCATGCCGGTGCCGCAGCATCTGCAGCTCATACTCACAGTTGGCACAGGCCTGCTTGAGCTCATACAGCAACACTAGGTCACTGCGCAGCTCGTTGAACATGTGCACCAGCTCCTCGGTGGGGGTGGGGCTCAGCTCTGCAGGCAGGGCACAGTGGGACTATGGTTGCGGGCCTGCAACGTGTAGTGCCCATCCCCGCCCAGCTTTCATCCACAGCCCAGGTGGGTAGTCCTCTGAGGCTCGACCTCACACTCACCCACACCAAGCTCTAGCAGCATCTGTTCCAGGGCCTTGATCTTCTTCTGACCCACAGAGCTGGGCAGCTTCATCTGCAATGACACAGACAGTTAACACTGTTTCCCCAAAGAGAGGTTTAGGACGAAGGGGGCTAAAGGCAGTAGGGGATTGGGGACTGGGGGCTTGGGATGGAGGTAGCTGTGGGCCAGAAAAGGAAAGAGCCAGGAAGTGAAAAATAGTAAAGCTGTGACCGCAGCCTGACCGTATCTCTGTGTGATCCTGGCAAGGCCACCTCGATCTACAACTACCTCCTATTGTTCCAGCTCCAATAGCTGCAGTACTCAGGCTACCTGGAGCCCAAGACTCAAACAGATGAAAGAAGGTGACTCACATACCCGCTGGCTCCGCAGCGTGACACCTGCAGACTTGAAGTCTGGAAACTTGATGCCTGCAGTCTCAGGAACAGCCTGGGGAGGAGTTAGGGAAACTAAGATATCACAGGGTGTGGGCCCAGGGTCAGTCCCAGCACCTCACTTGCTCTGGATGTACTCAGAGCTCCTACTCAGTTTAGAGCCCTGCGTCCCCCGCTTCTCCCCAGCTGGGCTGGCTCAATCTCCGTACCGGCTTCTCAGCCTCCTTTTTCTGGGGTAGCTTCTTCTTGGGGGCCTTGCGTTCTGTGCGCCGCTGTTCTGCAGTGGTGTCCGCTGCAGTAATCAGCTTCTGCAGGTCCTGGCTGCGTTTCTCCCGCTCCTTCTTTCGGGCCTCGATCTTGCGCAGCTCCTGTAACAGGTACTCCTCCTCTGCCACCTGGGAGAGTGACAGACACTGAGTAGTGTGTGAAGGCAATGTGTGGGGCAGGGTACACAGGGTGCTAGGCTGTCTGTAAGAGCACGTGAAATAGAAGGGGTCAGAGAAAGGTAAAGGAGAGCAGGGAGAGGCAGGAACACTCTGGGGTGAGGGAGTTGAGGGCATGGAGGACAGAGGCAATGAGCAAGGGTTTTGAAGTTGGGTGAAAGCTTAGGGCTGACCTGCTCTGGGGTCCGGTTGTAGAGACGCTCGAGCTGTTCCTTACGCCGCCGCTCATGCCCAGCATCGAATACTGGTATCTTGAGGTCTGTACCTGGCACAGCCCGCACATTGGCAAGCTTGGCGCAGATGTGATAATACCGCTCCTTCAGGTCCTCTACAGAACGCTTCTGAGGATTGAATGGGCGGGAGATGAACACTCAGGGGGCACCGAATGGATGCAGTGAAGGCCCAGAGGCAGGGCACACATGCAAATGCACACCAGCTTACCTTGAACTGCTGGTGGTCGTACCGGTCATGGATAACTACAAAACGCAGGTCAAAACGGCGGCTGAGGTCAAAGAGGTGGTCAGTTTCTGCCTTAGTCCAAGCATCATCATGGAGGTACAGCTGATACTCCTGCTCTGAATACACAGGCACCTGCACAGTCTACTGGCACAGAAAGACAAGTAGGGGCACACCCACATCATTTCATGTCCACAGGGCTCCAGCCCTATGACCACGGCCCCTCCCAGGGGCTGTGTCAAGCGCTGGGCTACACCAAAGTAAATCCTTAGCCTGTGTTCCTGCATAAGGCAGTCTGGAGTAAGGAAAGAACTTCGTCCATGCTGCTAGACAAGAGGGTCCTAGAAGGCTCTAGAACTACAGACTGCCTGACTGACTCCCAGAGCAACTTCACCTTATCTTCAAGCTGTAGAGGCTGGTAACAGGCCATAGCTCTTGCCCCCATGTTAAAGGTGAGGGGCTCATTTGTAAGCACTCTGTGGAGTCTAAAGGTCAACTCAAGTCAGGCAGATGGCTAAATACACCAGTCAGAGAAAGAAGGCACAGGAGCAGCCCCTACACCAAGTAACTCTAAACTGAAGCACTACTGCCACCCAGTGGTAACAGTGGAACTTGCTGCTCTCTCAGAACTCCTAGGTCACCTATTTCTACAAAAACCTGGCTTGAATACTAGTTCCAACACATGCAGCCCTGCCAAAATCTGTTCCTCCCCAAACCCAAACCCATCCTTAAGCCTCCCCAGAGACAAAGAATACCGCTACAAGCTGTTTCTATCACGCAAGGCCCAAGAAAGGAGTCAATGCTAGACTGGACCACTGATGCTTTACGACTGGCTCTTTCCAGCTGCCCCTTGGACGCCTCCTGGTGGAGGTCCTACACATACCTCAATGTGCTCAGTAATGAACTCCACTGCTTTCCTCAAGCTTAGGTCTCTGGTCTAGACCTCAGTCCATGCCATGTTACTGTCACCTAATCCAGTTGCCGAAGCCAGAAACCTGGGAGACATCTTTAATTCCTGCCTTTCTTTGGTTTTACTTCCAAAATCCTCCTCTCTGCACTGCCACATCCTAGGCCAGACCAGCACACCACTTGCCTAGATAAGACAGCCTCCCCACTGGTCTCACTCCTTCCACACAGTCCTCCTCTAATCAATTCTCCATTTGCAGCCAAGCTTTGACCCCTCTGAACAGTGCTACTTAAAGAGCAGTATGCAGACCAATGTTGTTTACAGGCTAACATCAACCCATGGTGAGAACCAAAATTATGAGGAGGCAATAAAAACTTTGTACAGTAACTGTGTGTGCTGAATGTAATTTGAAGAGGCACAGACTTTACTATCTTTTCTTATAACTTTATTACCTTAGTCAGTCACTGGTTGGGAATATAAAAATATCCTGCACCACAGAAAATCTGGGACACATTATTCTGGAATATCTTATTATGTCATCCATAACCCCCTAAAGCCTCCTACCTCCAAGATAAAGTGTCTTTTTGACATTCACGAACTCCTCAAAAACAAGGGTTATCCAGTTCATTTCCTTTAAGGCTTAGCACATTACCGGTATCAGTGAATATTCACTGAACTGACCAATGAGCATGAGTGAATGACCTGGCCTCCTCCTACAGCCACTGACCTTCATGGACTCTTAAGTGCCAGCCAAATGACTGTTTTGAGAACACACCAGACTCTCCTCACCTGTTTTTGCCTGAAGTGCCTCCTCATTTCCATGTACCTCTATCTTGGTAACATTCTGATCCTTTTGATCTCCTTCAAGTACAAATCCTCTGGAGATTCTTAGTTGCCCAGATTTGGTTACATATCTCTCCTATAAACTTAATTCCATTCAACTGTAAAAAGCACCATCCCTCAGAACTATATGGCCAATCCTGCTGTCAAGGGACTCACAGTCATGTAAAGAAGTCATTCTTTCATTTATTCAACAAGTATTTATCATTGACTGCTATGCTGGGGACATAGTACTAAGACAAAGAGGAGTCTTTGCTTCTCAGTTCACAGTCCAGCTTAAAAAAAACAAACTCACTTTAGTACAGTGTGGCAAGTTTGATGACAAAGGTACACCTACGCTTTACCAAATGGCACCAGGTCCAATCCAGAGACACAAGGTGAAAGAGTCAAAGAAGAAATGAGGCCTAGTTCAGTCTTAAGTAGTAATGAGGGAAGAAGGGGAAAGGAATCCTAGGAAAAAGGGCAATATAAACACAGCCAGGAAAGAAAACAACTTGGTGTGTGGTGGCTTGGCAATTAGAGACTGGTGGGAAACAAAGAATGAAATGGAGGGAAGCATGAGAAAGTCTGTCAGGTCAGCAGCAGCAAGGCCTGTACACCCTGCTGAGGAGTCTGGAATTCAGCCTGAGGGTTAGTTTTGGGAAGAGTAAAAGGTCACATTTCTCATATCAAAGACCAACCACCACTGCAGCAGTGAGGATGGATGCTAATCAGCTGGCTGACTCTTAGTGACACAGGTGAGACACGAAAAAGCCTGAATTGAAGCAGCACCAATGGCAGAGGACAGGGAGCAGAGTGAGAGGCTTTAGGCAAGAGAAGCTGTGACTGAGTTGATAGTGGGAGCTGGCACCATAGACAACTACTGTGATTCTGGCCTAAGCAAGAGAGTGGCTGAGGAGCTACTGGTGGAGAGGGGGATCCGGGAAGGAGCAAATCTCCTTTATTTCACTCCAACTTTATTATTCACTCTAGTCACCAGATCTTTCTAAGACTCAGAGCTAATCCTGACACTACTCCAGTTAAAATCTGTCACTGGCTACTGGAAGCAGTTTGAAGCCCACATATTTATTTCAGAATGCCAGCAATTACCAGGAAAAAAACCCTGAAATGATTGGTTACCCTAGACAATCAGGGCATAGTCTGAATTCTTGAGCCTTGCTGCCAAGGCCCTGCCTGAGTAGAGGATCCTGCTGACTGCTCAAGCCTCATCTCTCACCATGCCCTTCTGTGGGCTTTAGGCTTCAAGCATGGCAATGTTCCCAGCATCCCATACCATATAAAATTTCTATTTATTCCTTTAGTGTGCTGTTCTGACTGAAAAAGTCACTGTACCACCTTTCCTAGCATTGCCTGGTGACATCCTTTAGGACAACTCGGGCTCTAACTACTTTAAGAAGCTTCCATGACCTTCAGACTCTATTGCATATATCTCACCAGACTAATTGCTTCTGCCTCCACCACCCTCTCTATGTGGAGTTTCTGAGGGCAGATATTGCTGTTTGGTTCATTTATGTGTCCTTAATACCTGGTCCTCAACCTGGAGGGGAATGACATTTACTAAATACAAAATAAATATTCTTTTGTCTGCACCTCAACTTGTCTCATCCAACCTCCCTCCCACTGCCTCAGGTGCCTTACCTCTCGACTGTCCCCTTTCTATCTTGTATTTACAGCCTCTCTCTCCACTGGACCTGAGGGGTCCAAGGAGAATGGTAAGGAGGAGGAAAAGCTGGTCTGAAATATGGAGAGTAAAAGATTCACACCTGGCTATGCTCAGTCTGTAAAATCTCCGTGCAGTCCAGGGGAAGGTGTACAAGTGTGCCTGAATACACTGGCTTTGAAGGAGAGAAGCTAGAAATTGCATGCAGTCCAAAGTCTGAGCTCTAATGCCTTTACGTTCCGAGTCTAAGCTGTTCCGAGCTGTGGCAACTGTGAGGGCACCTAGTACAGAGGCTTAAAACATTGGCTAGGAAATCCCAGCCCAGTCTAGCTCTGCCTCTCACTGGCTGGATGAATCGAGGAAGGCCCTGCTCTGGCTAGACTTGTAATTTGGACCTGAGATAATTCAGCTTGGATCAGGGTGCTCACCTGGAAGAGGAGTAAAGGCAAAGATGTGATTTACTACAGAAAAAGAATCAGCAGGACTTGATGTTTTAATATATCGCTGAAGTCTATTATGATATACATATCACTTGATGATTAGATGTGTTTGAGGTCTAGCTCAAATGCCACTTTCTCAGAGAGGCCTTCCTTGCCTATCCTATCCAAAGTAGGCTTCTCCTACACCTACAATTTCCCTATCTTTTTTCATATCAATTCATGTCCTGGTTTAATTTTATTGATGGCTCTTAACTGACATATCCAATTTATTTTATTACACTTTTTATATCTGTCCTTTTCTTATCTTTGTCCTGTTGTTGAGATCTAAGAGAAAAGGCTGAGTCAAGGATGATTCCCCAGTTTCCACTATGGGCAACCTGAGAGGATAATGGTGGCATTTACTGAGCTGGAGAATAGGTCTGGGGGCAGGAGATAAAAGGAAGATTGTAAGTTGATGTGAGGTACCTATGGGGCACTCAGACAGTGATGTTAGTAAGTGACTGGATATATGGGCATAGTTTCTCTTACTATCTGGAGGTATTAAATTCAGGTCACTGGCTTATAGAGGGTAACTGAAATCACATGGTAAATGAGACACACAAGGGAAAAATGTAAACTAAGAGTAAAGCACCTATGATACAGATCTGTGGAACAGCAATTTTTTTGGGGGGGTACCGGGGCTCAAACTCAGGACCTTGCACTTCCAAGGCAGGCACAGTGCCACTGAGCTAAATCCCTGTTGTCACAGCGATATTTGAAAAGCCAAGAGAACCCACCAAAAACCAGAGTAGGTACAGAGAAGGGCAGGATCCCATAGGCAGAGACCTCAGAGTTCTACTCTGTCTTTATATGACCCAAGGACCAAGTGGGTAACCTTGGCTGGGCTTTAGCAGGCCCCTGGAGCCAACACTGGCCTGTATGAATGGTGGTAGCTCACCTTATTGAACCTGGCGAAGGGGTAGTCCTTGCCCTCCTCTGCTGCCCGACGCCAGTGAAAGAACATGGCTCCATCTTTGCGGGCTGGGTTGGTGAATGGCATCCATTTCCAAGGTCGCACCTTCTTGGAGCCTAACTTGGCCTTCACTGTGCGGTAGCCCTGACCAGTGTCACTGGGTAGCAGTGGAGGTGCATCTCTGCCAGTGGGGTTTAGGGAGGTAGAAGGTTAGAATCACAAAGTGTGTAGAGAGCCTCTGGGCCCAAGGAACTGATCTTTCCTTAAGAAGTAAGTCATGTCCTAGAGTAAGACATCTGAGCTCCTCTTGCATTCTGCTAGGCAAGCAAGAGCCCTGGCCGGGAAGGGGAGGTGGGGGAAGAACTGGAAGGAAAACCAGGAGTTACAGACATGGCAAGTGGGCCAGGGGCTGGAGCACAGGGAACTGGGGGTTCCAATACTTGCTTCTTGTCAGAGTAGAGCAGTGCATAGACCTCCCGGTGCATGCCCTCAGGCCTCTTGAAAGTCAGTGTCTCAGATGACTTCTTGGACTTTTTCTAATGAAATCACAGGAAAAGAACCACAGCCTAGACCCACTTTCCTGAAAATTCTTTAGCCCAGCACAATCCCTGCACAAATCATCACCTACAGGTACAATGACACACATAGTGACACATTATAAGGGCACACTATAAAGAACAGAATCCTACTCTCAGGAGAATCCTGAGAGTTCTCCCCACTCCTAACCAATCTGGGTAGAGAAGGAAATCCTTTCAGACTCTTAGAATGTCTTGGACTCCCCCACCCGGGTAACTTAGGAATGCCACACTGTCCTCCCCTCATGGCTTGGAGGTTTTCCACTCTTGGTATCCACCATCTCCCAGGTGTTCCATCTTCTCCATCATCTCATTAGGGATAATACATAGTATCTGTCCCGTTATGTCACACCTTTTTATGGTGCACCTCACTGAAGGTGTGGCACCCTACCACTTCCCCCATCTCTTTCGATGTCACCCCCTCCTCACCCCTTCACTCCCCCTACCCAATACTCTCAGGTGCCCCTACTACCTTGTCCGGGTTGATAATGTCCTTTTTGCTGATAGTCCCGGAGGCTGCATCCCCCTCTGGACCCCCGAGTTCTAGAATGTCCCGTACATCCGCGCCCGTAGCCATAGCGCCAGGGTATTGGGGGAGCACCCGAAGTCAAGGGTCGGCGCCTGAGGACGGACCAGGCTCAGGTCAGGGGGCGGGGACACTCCAAACTCAAGTGGGGTTGGGGTGAAGAGGCGGGCCAAGAGGAAGGTGGTCCAGATCTGGTGGGGGTTGTAAAGGTGTCCTGCCGCTTGGGTGTCCCTAACGGCCCCTTAACACTCCCTCCTCTACCACTCCGCCTCCGCACGAGCGTCTCTACGACGCGGTCTCTTCTGCCGCTCTCTAAACACAGCGAAACCAAGGGCAGAAACTTCCGATTGTGCGCCGTAAAAACGAGGCCCACAGAAACACTTCCGATCTGTGTCTAGAGAAAACAGAGCCGGCTGGAAATGAAGTGAGTAAGTTAAAGAGTGGCCACGCTGGGCAGATCGCAGTTCGTTTCTCGCGCGAGCCCGCTCCCTAGTGGTAAAGTCGTATGCATGCTTAATTGAAATACTGATAATCCATATACAGTTTAATTTTTAAAATTAGATAAATTAATGATACTAGTTAATATCAATTCATTAAGTGTTACTGTGTTCATTAAATGCTACTATGTATCAGGCACTGCGACGCTTGACAGTGAAGAGAAATAAAACAGGCCGATCTTGGGGGAGGGCAATCAGGATGGGGTCCAGACCCTCACTTGTGCCTCTTCTAACGGAGGTGTCAGTGGGTTGGGCCTCTGGCGCCTTCCTGGAGCCCAGCTTCCTGGAATTTCTCCAATACAGCTAGCTTCTGCACTAGTTTAATTAACAAAATGTCCCAAACCACAGTCCCAGGCGAGGAAAAGCTAGAAGTATCCCTCAAGGGAAGAAATTTGCTGGTCTCCCTAGAAAGACCAGGACAAGCTCCTAGGCAGATCAGAAGTGATAAGGGAAGAAGCTCCCAGTGTCAGCTTCTGCAAACCAGACTGCCGACGCGAAGGACACATACACAATGAGAGTGCTACATGGGATAAGCTTTGTAAATTATTAAGGATACCTGACCCCAAACCAAGACCTGCCAAAGATCCTCACGGGGCATTAGAAGAGCAGACAGCTAGCTATATGTAAATGTTGTAGTCTGTTCTTGCCTTGATACCATAAGCCTAGCTAGACCTCAAAACTTTGAAGAACTAGGCTTGGCAGTACACTTTGCTTTCTTCCTGTGCGGGTTAAAACAGATTCTGGGGGAACCTAGATCTTACAGCAAGACCTTGTATGCAAGGAATGGTCCTCAAAATCAGAAGTAGACAAAGCAATGGAAGAAATCCCTGTGCCTCTGCCTCCAACACTTGACTCTATTTACAGTCAATTGTCTGATTATTTGTTTGGTAAATATGTACCTTGATAGACTCATTTCTGTGAAGACAGGGACCACAGTAGGCAAATGAATTTATGTACCAGGCACAGTTGTAGACTGGGGATACAACACGTGAATGAGAGATACCTGCTGGAGGAGCTTGTACTTACTGGAAGAAGAAAAACACCAGGCTTATCAACAATCAACTTCATAATGTGCCTTTTCAAAAGTACAAAACATTACTTATTGGGAGGAGTCACCGGGTTCAGCACCTTGAGGCAGAAGCAGGCAGAAAACAAGGAGCCTGTGGTCCCAGCAGGTCTTAAGGTTTAAATATTCTGTATTATTTTCCCCTTTGATTCTATTACAGCCTCACAGCATATCACTAGTAACCACAGGGCTGTAGTCTAGGTGAGCACATACCAATAGCTGGCATACCAACTGTTGGGTCAAGGCTCAAACCCTATCTTGGAGAAACTCTGTGAGGCATCCAGTCATGGTCCAAATATTAGCAAAAGAAAAATTGGTATTACCAGTCAGCAGAGGGATGAGCCATGATGTCCAACTATCAGGAAAAGCTCTAAAACCCACTAGTTTGAGATTGATCACTGAGCTTGGTGGCTATGTCTCAGGGACTTTTTGTGGCCTGATGAATGGCTCCTGATCTGGTAACAGAAATAACATTTCTCCCCGAGAAAGACATAGGCACCCCCTTTTTCTGCTGTTAGTAAGTCTAAGGTGCAGCCATTTTGGAAGGTGACTATAGCTAAAGAGTCTAATCTCGTTTTGTAGGTCTATTATAGACTTAGAGATTTCTAAGCTATTGGTTAACTCCTGAGAGAGTTGTTGGTAGATAAGGGCTGTGGTGGTTATGCCTGAAATTCCAATTCCAAGTCCTTAGGTTATTTCCGAGCCTATCATCAGAGGAATCAGAAAGGGAACTTGGTGTTGTCAAGTGTGAGCCTGGGCTGAGGTTGGAAAGTTCAGTGTCTTCAGGGGCAGAGTTAAATGCGGTGAGATAGACTTTTGTGGCGAGATAGATGAGAGTGCAAGTTCTAGTCCATTTGACAGGGAGACAGAGATAGGCAGGGCCAGAATATGCTGGAGAAAGACAGACAGAAATGATTGTAGACATCACAGTGGTATATGAAGGCTCCTCTGTCTATTTCCCATTCATTCACTGTGAAAACCAGGGCTGCTCCTATAAGAGGGAGCACTTGTCCCACGTGAGTCCATTGAGTAGTGCCCTTAGTTTTGTTTTCCCAGTGTTTGAAGAACCTGTTTGTGTCAACTAGTTGCCATTCTTCTGAGTTTTGGAGAATGGGTAAGAGAAGATAGGTGGGAGGAATTGGAGCTATTGTGGAGTGCCAGAAGAAATCCCCAGACAAGGAGACTTAAATCTTTCAAAGAAGTGGGACCCAGCATTAACCAATGGAGAGGTGTCAAGTTTAGGCCGACCAGTGAGGCAATGTTTGAGTGTGACTAAGTCAACCAGTACATTAAGATGATTGTGGGGAGGGTGTAGGACTAATATAAAGTTACAGTCAGAGGGCAATAGGTGTCCTAATGCACTGGAGGCCCTGTGATAGCAGAGAAGTGGAGACTTCCTGGAGGAGAGAGTCATTTTATACAGTGGAGGTCCTGGAAGGTAAGCCTTACATCAATACAGCTAGAACCAAATGTAGGTCTGTGTGTTGTGGCCTGACTATTTTTGGAGAAGTCCTTTTTAAGTGCAGCTATGACTTTCAGGAAAGGAGGATTTTTAAGGTCTACACGGGTGATAGGCTGATGTACATAGCGACCAAACCTGGATGAGACCAGAGTGGTCTCTATGGACTCCAAGGAGGGGGCAATGCATAGCTAGCAGTCCTCTGCAAGACTGGGGCAGTTCTGGTTTAGTAGAGTGTGGATTAATTCTAGAGTATTAATAAGGTAGGGGTGTATTGAGTCTGGGCTTTTATTTCCACTGCCACCATGGGGACCAATAGCAGGGACCAATAGCAGTATGAAGTTACTGGTGCTGGCCATTATTAGTTAGACCAGGGTGATTGTTTATCTCTACTGAAAACAGAATACTGATAAGAAAACCTTGAATAAATGATAAAGGCAATAGCCAAGAGAATCTTATGGAGAGTTGTCCAATCTACTGGAACAACTGTAGCAAGACCAACAGCAAAAATTAAGGTACGCAGTCCAAGGAGGCCTAGAAACCGGGGATATTAATTATAGTCTATCAGGTAGTCTAAAGCATCCCATGAATAGTGTCCTCAGGCTTCAGCCATGTGTAGACTAGTTAGCTTCCGGTATGACCAGAGGAAGAAGGCTGTCTGATAACCCGAGTCTTGGGTCTGTGTCATGCTGAGATGAATTCTGTTAGAGTTGGGCCTCGAGCAGGTTTTGAGGATGAGAATGATCAATGCAGGTGTCTGGAGGGCCTTGATGGTAGGTCTTTTTGACCCTGGTGTAGTGGATCCAAGGAGTGATACCTGTAACTTTCTTATTTTTACTTTTTTGGTACTGGGAATCAAACAAAGGACCTCATGCTTGCCAGGCAGGTGCTGCACCACTGAACTACATCTCCAGCCCAGTACCTGTAACTTTTATAGCAGTGAGGGTAGAAATCACAATAGTATAAGGTCCTGTTCATATGAGTTGGAGAGGAGCTTTTTTAAAATCTTTTATCCAGACTGAGTCTCATGGCTGGAAGGGATGTGCTGGGTTACCCGTAGGGATGAGGATTCTCTCTAAAACAGTTTTATTAATCTGTGAAAAGATTTTACCTAACCTCTGTAACTCTAAAGTTGCATTTTTTTGGAGATTGAACTCAGGCCCTTGTGCTTGCAAGGCAGGTGGCAGAACCACTGTGCCAAATCCCCAGCCCTAAAGTTACATTAATTAAAGTTAATTATCTCCTAATTATCTAGTGTCTCCCCCAAGAAATGCCTAATAATTGGGGGAGACATTATCTTTTATGGCAAGTAACTTGAGGGTTCAGGTGTGCACCTGATTCTGAGGAGGGCCATGGGTAGCATCTCTGGCCAATTTGTTCCTGTTTCCTGGCAGATAGCCAAGATAGTTTTTAAAGGTTTAATTTATGCATTCTACCTTACCTGAACCTTGTGGCTGATATGCTACATGTAGCTTTCATTTGATCTTTAATGTGTTAGTGAGGCTTTGATAGCCTCCACCACAAAGTCAGGCCCTTGTTGTTCCCCATTAACAAGGGAAGCCCATATCAGGGGAATACTTCTCTCAGGAGTAGTTGAACAACTTCTTGGGGCTTTTCTATCTTGGTTTCCTTGGCTTCTACCCATCCTGAGCAGTGCAGACAATGACTAACTGGTATTTGTCTTTGTAACAAGGTTTTATTTCAGTAAAGGGCATTTGTAAATTTTCAAATGGTGAAGTTCCTATATGTTGAATCCCTGGTAGGGGCAGTGGTCTCCGAAGAGGATTATTGTAGGCACAGGTCTGGCACATATGGCAAACAGTGACACAGAGTGAGGGAGCCTTGCAATATAGTAATACCTGTTTAAAAGAACTAATTTTGCTTTCCAAAAATAGGTCTTTTGATGGCCATCTTGTACAAAAGAATAAACAAGATGAGACAGGATGAATATCCTTATGTCAGATAAGGTGCATAGATTGGACCCACCTCAGTTCTTGGGCCCATATATTTTCTTTGGCGAGTAACAGCTGAAGTTGTCTTCTTCATCTGGATGGGAGCTAGTTTTTGGAGGCAGCCTCCAGGAATACCCTCATTTACCTTTATGTAGGATTTTTCTATGGTGAGCCTTGACGTAAGAACAGCCATGACTCACCTGTGATTAAACCTGGACCCAGCCTACGTGCCTGTGCCATGGCAGCCTGTTGTCTGATTCCCAGTGGGTAGCCCATCACCCTATGTTGCCATAGTAATGTAACCCATAATAGTTGTTTTGTGGAGCATTGAGACCTTTGCAGTCAGCTACACCCTGTTCACGCTTTTGGTTTCGGTTTTAGCCTA